TCCTGAGTCCTACTTCCTGTATTTTAACCTAATCTCTAGTGTCAAGAATAGGGTACTGGAATGGATTGTGTGTGATCACCAGGTTTAGGGTAGGGGGAATGCTTCAGAGAAGAAGTTATAATGAGAGTGCCTAGCAAGATCACTTGAGATCTCCTACAGAATTCTTTTGAATTGCAGAAACCATGAGTTGGAATTGATTTCATGTAAATAACGACAATCTACAGTGGTTCAAGGAATCCTGGTATGGCACTGCCAGTTAATGTGCTGGACTGAAAGGTCGGTTTGAACCACAAGATCGGTGGTTCAAGCTCACCAGCTGCTCCTTGGAAACCCTATACAGGATCACTATGATTTGGAATACTTAACAGCACTTAACAACAACAGCGGTTCAGACCCACCAACTTCTCTTTGGAAACCTTATACAGTGTCACTATGAGCAGAACTGACTCAATAGCAGTTAACAACAGCTATTAAAGGACAGCATTTTCTGTACCTAGTACTATATATAGTACTATGGGTACTATATAGAAGTAAACAATTAATGTACAGTGTTTGGTATTATTTTACCACATCCTGAAGCTGTCTTAATTACAATATGTTGGCTTTATTTGGAACGAGACTGGGAGAAAAGATTCTGTATTAAAAAGATGCTTCTTTTTAAATAGGTAATTTAAAAATCCCATTCTTACTGCATCAGGAAATTATCATACTTTGAATAATGCATCATCATGAAGATCTTTAAAGGTGGTACTTTATGATATCACCTTTAAATATGTGAACCTGCCTTACAGTAAATGTCAAGGGAAATATAATTTAGTCAAATAGATCAAATTTTACAATGAAGAATTGGATTAGCTTCTCAGTGGGTTCTTCCCTATCTAATAAAGGTGAAGCAAATGCCTGATTATTAACAGAATTGCAAACAGGTCCAGCTTGTCGGTGTTTAGGGAAGAAATGGAGAGTTTTATGGCTCCTGGATAACTGGGGAAGGCAACAGTGTCCTAAAGACAAAAGTTAGAGGCGGAGGCGACTTTTGTGACAGTCTAAGTAATTGTGGATTATTTCTAACTGAACAATGTCAGTTTTAGGATTTATGCAACACATTTTGAAAATGTAATTAGCATTTCAAATGGGAGTACTCCTGGATGTAAGTCAAGCCAAGTAAAAGTTGATCTTATGCATTCTTGTATTAAGTGTTGACATTTAAGCAATGTAGAAAGTGAAGAATTCTGTTGATTCTAAGGAAATGGAAGTTCTTCTGTTTCCTGTCCTGATCTTGGGTGGGGGTAGGAGGAGATTGCTTATGGGCAGGCATGCAGTCTCCTGCTTCTTCACCCTACCTGGATCCCAGAGCAAATGCTTGACTGCTTGAATATCCATTTTCAGGCAGTGTTGAAATACCTGCTAGTGTGGGGTTTGGGTGTGGTTTTTTTTTTTTTTTAATTTGGTGTATTTGTTGGTTTAAGCTACTTTTGTTATTTCAGTTATGGATTGAAAGGAATGTATTTAAGGTTAGGATTCAGATTTGTTTTTTATTATATGATAAGTTAGTACAAACTATGGGCAGGAAGTCAGAATCCCAGTGAAGTGATATTATTAAATAGGAATATGGTATTGTTATGCATTGAATTTTATCCCCCTGAAATGTGAGTTATAAATCCTAACCTCTATGTCTGTGGCTACAATCATGTGGAAAGCGGTTGTGTTTGCTATGTTAATGAAGCAGGATTCATGTAAGGTAGATCTTGAGTCAGTTTCTTTTGAAAGAGAAAATACATTAAATGAAAGCTAGCAAGGAGAGATGAGGAAGAGAGATACCTAACCACATGAAGATTGCCCAGGAGTAGAAAAGCTCAAAGAGACAAGGACGTTCCTCCAAAGCTGACAAAGAGAGAAAGCCTTTCCCTAGTGCGAGCACCCTGAATTCAGACTTCTAATCTCCTAAACGCCTCAGAAACCCTAGACAGGGTCGCTATGGGTCGGAACCAACTCGACAGCACTTAACAACAACAACAAGTCTCCTATTGATTTCTGTTTGTTAAATCCACCTACTTGTGGTATTTCTGCTATAACAGCACTACAGAACTGAGACAGAATTTGGCACCAGGAGAGTGATGTATTGCTCTAACAGATCATTAAAATGTGGAAGCAGTTTTGGAACTGGGTACTAGGTAAAGACTAGAGGAGTTTCAAGGTGCCTAGTATTAAAAGGAGTCCTGGGATGGCACTGTAAGATAAGCAACTGGACAACAAGGTTGGTTTGAACCACAGGTCATTGGTTCAAACTCACCAGTCGCTCCTTGGAAAACCCTATATATGAATTGGAACCGACTCAATGACACTTAACAATAACAATATTAAAAACCTAGATTGCCTTCAAGAGACTATTGGTAGAATTATGGATGTCAAAAGCAATCTGGTGAAGGCTCAAAGGAAGTGAGGAGAGCTATAGCAAAAGTGTCTTATCATCTGAAATAATTCCTGTGGCACCAGCAGTAGAACTTTGCAGTAAGTGTGGACATTAAATATGTTCTACTGGTGAGACTGTAAAAGAAAATGAACAAGTAATTAGACAGTAGAGAAAGGGTGAAACATTTTAAACAAATAATGGTAAAGTACTGGTCTGAATTATGTTCAATGTTTTGTGGAAGTGATAGGCAATTTCTAAGCAAGATCTTAATAGGCCATCTGGTTTATCCTTTGTTCCCACATAAGCCCCATTTTTCTGCTCCTTGGGATTGGAAATCCTGCTTGCAAGGATGAGAGCAGAAAGAGATGGACTTAAAAATAAACTGTGCAAAAAGGAAATGTAATTTACAGATTTGGAAGATTCTGTTGTACAAACTAGGGACATGTATTCTAGAATGTTCATCAAGGAGGTGGCTGTGCAGACTTTTGTTGAAGAGATTACAGTGCCTGAAACTGATGCTTCTAACCAACCACCACAGTTTAAATCCCATCAGTTTAGAGGAAGGGAACAGAGAAAGAAGAAAAGAGGAGAATGTTGTCAGTCTGTTGGATTTCTACAGGTAGGAAAAAGGAGCCAACATCTGTTATCCTCCAAGAAAATATAAGACCATCCCTGGTTTAACTCAGAGATGAGCATGATTGTCAGAATGAACTTGAGAAGCAGGGCCTTTGGTTTTTATGGGTGGGGCCACAGTCTCTCAGGTTTCAGAGTCATATCTTTGCCAACTCTGTTCCAGAGTGTGGAGCTGCTGTTAAAGTGAGCCAGGAGAAGGGGTCACCACCCAAACCTGAGCAAGCAGGATTTCCAAACCCAGGGAGCAGAAGAATGGGGCTTATGTGGGAACAAAGTGCATGAGATTACCACTTAGATAGACTAGCAGAGTGGGGCTGCCCAGGGAGCAGAGTTGCAGTCCCAGAGATCCTGGAAGGCGAAGCTGAAACCAGGTTCTGAGGGGCCTCCACCCAGAATCCAGAGAGCAAGGTTTCAGAGAACAGATTTCTTTTCACACCTTGTCCTGTTAGGCTTGGGACTTGCTTGGTGCCTGTTATACTTTCTTTCCCTCCAACTTTTCCCATTTGTAATGGAAATGTTTGCCTTATAGCTATACTATTGAAGTTTGGAAACAGATCATTTGTAATATAGATTTCACAAGTTTATAAATGGAAAAGAATTTCTCTCCTGGATGCAATATTTCTAAAATTTCACCTGTAGTTGATTTAGACAATTCAGAAGATGAAATTTTGGACCTGGAGTTGATAAAAAGACTTTTGGAATACTGTTTTAGGGTGGATGTGTTTTGCATGTGAGAAGGACTTGAATTCTGGAAGCCAAAGGGTGGAATGTTAAGGATTGAATTGTGTACCACTAAAATATGTGTTGTGAATCCTAACCTCTATGCCTCTGGCTATAATCCCATTTGGGAATGGGTTCTTTGCTATATTAATGAGACAGGATTAGTGTAAAGTGCACTTTGAGTCAATCTGTTTTGAGATACAAGGGAGATGAAGCATAAACTAGCAAGGAGAGATATGGAGAAAGAGATACAGAGAAAGCCACATGAAGATTGCTTCAGAACAGAAGCTCAAAGATACAAGGCCCTTCCCCCAGAGCTGACAGAGATAGGAAGGCTTCAGACTCCTAGCCCCACCCCCACCCCCAAAACTGTGAGAAAATAAACTTTGTTAAAACCACCCATTTGTGATATTTCTGTTATTGTTGTTGTTAAGTGCTTTGGAGTCAATTTCAACTCATAATGACCCTGTATAGGGTTTGCAAGGAGTGGCTGGTGAGTTTGAACCACTGACCTTGTGGTTCAAACCGACCTTGAGGTCAAGTACTTATCCTGTGGTGTTACACCAGGACTCCATTTCTGTTATAGCAGCGGTGAAGAACTAAGACAATCATCAAAATATGTTTTTCAATTTTTGAAAATATGCTTTGATTTCTAGACTTGCTTTTACTTAAACATCATCATTTGGGAAAGTCAAATATATCAAAAGTAAATAATTCTGAGGGCTTCAGTGTTAGATATCACTGCCTGGAAATTCTGTGCTACTATTATGAGGGTTAATCTGTTTGAAGTCATATTGCTGAAAGATGGATATTTTAATTTGGGAGGTGATAAGAATTGAAAAGTCGGATTTTCATAATGTTCCTGTTCCCTTCCTTTAGATGGGTTCTAAAAAGCTAAGTGCTGCACTATGATCTGTTATAAACAGGCTATCATGTGTTAAAGTGAATCTCATTTAAAATACAGGATCTGTTCCTAAGCCACAGCTGTTTGTTTTTTTTTAACCAAAGGTGGTTTCTGAAGGTTTCATGGTATATGTCTGGAGTATTGAGCATAGTACCTGTATAGACTCCCCAACATTTGAAAGACACTTAATGCAGATTACATTCATTTACATTAATTTTGTTTGGGCTGTCTATGTTGTCACGTGCACAAATCAGTGGGTTTGTCTTTAGTCATCTTATTCTCATTGGGGTTGATGGAAATGAAGTAAGGACCAAGTAAACGACTTTTTTTCAGGTGCAAATTCGACCATGGAACCTAAGTGACAGTGACTTTGTAATGGACGGTTCTCAGCCTTTGGACCCCAGAAAAACTATCTTTGTTGGGGGAGTTCCACGACCCCTTCGAGCTGGTGAGTGGAAATAGTAACACCACAACAACAAAAATGACAACAAAATCCCCAAGGCATTTAGTCATAAATACTTTCTGGATTTTTGGTTAGCAATACACAGTCTCCAAAAAGAAGGCTGCCCATGTCAGTTTCACTGAGCTGACTTTTTTTAGATTAAATGTTTTCTTCCCAAATGGTTTATTTTCTTATGATGCAAGAGTGAATGTCATTAAACTGCTATGTGGGAAGGATGAATCTATTTAGTGCTTTCCTATTTATGGCAATATGCATTCTTATGCCAGTTAGCATTATCTTATGACCATAAAAAGAAGTAACCCCATCAGAAGTCTGTCCAGGGCAGCCATGTGCCCACTCAGTGATGAGCCAGACACTGCTGCAAATTGTGTCCCTGGGAATCCAACAACTCTCCCAAATGAGAGGGAGTCCTTCCAAATTTTATCTACTTCTGAGAAATGAATTTTACATTTGAACATCTTTACTATGACTCTTTAAAGGCGTCATTGAAAAAATTTAATTTAGTGTGATTTCCTTTTCAATGATAAAATCATTGTGCCTGGTGGGATTGGGCCAAATTTAAGTTGACTGAGAGTTTGAAGTGATACTGAACTGATGACTTCCATATTTACATTCCCAAGACAAATGTAAGAAGCCATGCATCAGCTTGGCTATTGCCAATGAGTTATAGTAAGAGTGTTTGTAAGATCTAAGTTTACTAAAGCACTTGAAATAGTTAACTTTATTTATTTAAAGTAAAGTCAAATAATACGGTTACTGTTGCCAGTATGGTTTCAAAAGTGCAACATGCCTACTGTGCTATATAAGCAAGTAGATTAGTTCTACCTTTAAAAAGAAAATCATTACAATCAAATTATGGAAACAGAGTTGTGAAATGTATTCTATAATTATTAGGCTTTATGACTTTGATAGCTTCTTAATTTTGAAAGTTCCTCAACATTTCTACCTGATTTTTTTTTTTTTCAAATTCCAACTCCGCTATGCACCTAAAAGATATCTTAAAGGCCTATAGGAAGATACATTAATAATTCCTTTTTTAAGGACTTTTGAATATATTCATTGGAACTGTTTCTAATTTCATACTATTACAGAAAGTAAAATGTCTTCGGATTTTATTTTCATTTGAATGAGAAATTGTCCCAAAAGTAAAGTAAGCAAGCAAAGCAGTGGGAGCTGCTCTCCCTTTTATCTACTGTCAGAGAATAAAGTACAGAAAGGTCCAACCTAAAGGTCAACAGCATTACAGAGAGGGCACGTGCAGCACCTTGTCCCTAAACTGCTAGGGTTTTGAGAAAGAATTTTGGTGAATATTGGTAGAATATTCCTGACTTTTTTTTAAAAACAACTTCAAATACATTTTACAAATGGACATCCGTTGTTAGCATTCAAGAGTGTGGGCATTTTTTGCAACTTATCTTTTCCTTATTTTTGTATTTAGTAAACATCCTGTTTCGACATGGGTAAAGGCAAACACAGGAACTTATTTTGTCATTTTAAAGAATACTTTTAAAGGGAAACAGAAATCTGGTGGCCATCTACGCCATGGCCCAGAATAAATCTTTATGCTGATCCTTTCATTGCAATTAACTACAAATATAAATTTGTTTTAATATATTAGCCCCTCTCTTAGAGAAGAGAAAGTCCCACAGTTATTTTGGCAGACTTTTTTTTGTTGTTGTTGTTAACAGAACTGGCTTTAACCTTTGTGTCTATTTTTAAGTCACAGACATAACAGTTTATATACTAAATTCTCTTTTGTATTATTCACCCTTTACTCTTCCTGTTTTACTGACTTCCAAAGGGTAGGTAAAGACCTTTGTATATTTTCCTTCTATAAATTCTCTGAAGATTCGCTTTCACACTCCTCTGTGATCACAATGAGTCTGCAAAGCAGGAACCCTAAGAGGCTAGATTGTTTTCTTTTAACATTCTATATCTTCAAGATGTTACAAGTTCTAGGATTAGAAAATAATTATATTTAGTTTTCTATTAAAAATGGGATTTTGTGTTTCCTGCCTAGGGTAGTATACGTCTTCTAACTTTAGAGGTTCTCTTTATTTTCTTTTAAAACTAAACTAAAATTATTTTGTTTTTGTAGTTATGTGGGGCATAATCTAAAATCACTTGGCCTAGTAGAAATGTTCCCCCATGCATAAACCTTCTATAAATGTAGCTAGTTTCTAGGTGGCTAAATTATATTAGTGCTTTAGACTTTTGCTATCTGTCCCAAGAATTCCAGATTCATTTACTTAGAATTGGGATTCTTTGGTGTATACTGAGCTTTGTGGACGGGTGAGTGCCTTGGAATAGAAGTTTATTTTTAATGAAATTGACTTTGGTAGACAATCTTAAATTGAATACAGTGAAGTTCACTTAAACAATAAACATTTATTGAGCATACACTATTATGAGCACTGAGCAAGTACACATCATGCCAAGGTGAATGAACATCCCACTGTTGTTTTAAACAAGTCATATATAAAGAGTCAAATTTCAGAACAGAGGAAAATGAGGAATGCATTACTGGGATGCTAACTCAGAATTCATTGGAACTTAAGTTATGCTCTGTAACATCATGATTCTTAAATTTGACTTTGAAATACTTCAAAACATTTTTTATTATTTCCCAGAATGGAATTCTCAAAAGTCTTAAAACTATTTCAGGCACTACATACAGAATGATCCTGGAGTAGATATGAGTAACCCTACTCAAAGGTGAGATTTTAGGTGTCCAGGTGGTTTTTCACTCCATCCTCAGCCAAAAAACGCCCTTCACCATGTCACACTGTCTGAAATGTTATCTCAAAAATTATTCCTTTGCATCTTGTGAGGTTTTTTTGTTTTTAAATCTTTGATATTTTCCCATTGTAGGACAGGAATCACTGTTCTAACTATAGTCCCTATTCAGCCCAGCAGAAATATACAAGCACCTCTAAAGAAACAAGGCAAACCTGTTTTAAGCAGTATTATTCCAGCTGGTGTGGCACTGAGGGTTAATGTGCTGGACTGCAAAGTTGGTTTGAACCTCAAGGTCGCCGGTTCAAGCTCACCAGCTGCTCCTTGGAAACCCTATACAGGGTCGCTATGGGTCAGAACTGACTTGATGGCACTTAACAACAACAATTCCAGCTGAGTTTAAGGTGCCTCTTGTAGTCTTTTGAAAAGTCTCCCTTTTATAAAATTCATGTTTGAAAAAAAATCACAGGCCTAGAAAACCTAACTTAGAAATGGGAAAATATCAATGGAAAATCTAAATGAGTTTACCCAAAGTTAGATCACCTGATTGTGGGGTTCTCTAGATCAAATAATAAACATCCCTCTTGTTTCTTGTTCATCTCCCTCTCATTACTTCCATCAGTGAGAAGCTAAGAACAATTTGCCTGAAGTCTTTGGTGTTTCACAGGTCTTGTCTCCACTCCCCACCCCACTCCACTCTCATGCCTAGGAAGATTGTAGGTGGACTCACCATGTTACTGTGTGGCTAAAGTTTGTGTGTTCTTCAGAGAGTCAGCACAGGAAAATGGACAAATCTGTCCTGCTGGTTCTTCTCCTGCTACCACCTACAAGTACCCTGGCATGTTGTCACTCTTTATCCAAGTACTATAAACACATTTTCCTGTGTAGAAAATACAGAAATAGCCCTGTTGTGCATAGCACTGTTATTGCAATCTCTCCGGAGTGCACATTCCTGCACTCTGAGAGTGAATAAATACTAGACTTAGGAGTCATGAATAGACTACCAGGAAAAGTTGGTGAATTAAGCATCTGATTCTGTATTCTCTAGTTTATAAACACGAGTGTTTCTTTGACCACGACTTCTTGGCTTAGACATTTGATTTAAGGACACCCTCAGTGACCAAGCTCTGGGACCCATCTTTCAACTTTTATCAGACTTGAAAGCCCTTCAGTCTTCCTTTCTGATTATAGGTATGTAAGCTATTCTCTTTCACAACTCCCTTCCAATAGTTTATGAGATCAAGCCCCACAGAATACCTCTGTCTCAAGCAGTTGCTCATCTCAATTCCTGGAGCCTTTTGTTTGCTTTTTCATCTATGGGTCTCTATCCTTCCTAACTACTGATCTGGTAATTTTTTCGCTTTTTTCCCCTACTAATATTTCTGGCGTTCTAGAGGAAATTAAAGGAGCTCTGGTAGCGTAGTGATTATGAATCGGGCTGCGAACCGCAAGGTCAGCAGTTTGAAACTACCAGCTGCTCCACGGGGAAAAGGATGAGGCGTTCTGCTCCCGTAAAGATTTACAGCCTTGGAAACTCTGTAACAGGGTCACTATGAGTCAGAACCGACTCCACGGCACACAGTCACCAGCCAGAGGAAATTAAGGTACATATTCAGTGATAGATGGCATATATCCAGAGAACATACATTGTGCATTTTCCTACGATCTTTTGTTTCAAACATTCTGTACCTTTTTTTACCTTGTAGTAGGAATGATGTCCTAATTGGTGCTATCGGAAATGGAAGTATTGTAACCATACCCGTATTTTATTCTGTGAAGTGGTATCAAGTAGAACTCATCTTAGGTCCAATTTCTCAGCAGTAGAAACTTTGTTTCCACCAAATTCCAAGTCCAATACAGGACTTGTTCCTGATAAATTCTAGCATTTACATTCTGACTTAATTAACTGCATTGACCCTAGGACAAGGGATTTTCTATGTCAATGTGTTTCCCTTTTCTCCTCAAAGAAAGCAAACCTTCACCCACAGATGCTGTCAAACTGTCCTACCATAGTAGGCTGGATAACATTAGCATAAAGCCAAATTGAGATTGGGATGAGTTGATGGTTATGGAGACTAGATGAAGCTAATGTTAAATAAAGATTCATCGGTAAGGAGAAAACAACCCCAGATCAGAACTACACATCTGAGCGCCACTGTGCTCAACAGCGAGCCCAGCACTCCTGTGCAAATGATGGATTTTTCATTTTAGTAATGAGGAAGCAAGGGTCAGAGGTCACAATAAATGAAAAAGTCAAGAGTCAAGCTCACATCTCCAGAACTTCAGCTTTATCAAGCTGAGAACTGAAATGTTTTAGTAACAATTAACTTGATACCAATCTGATGTCATCAGGTTAAGCACCCTGTCTTCATTGGCTGTTCATATCATTTAGTTGAAAATATTCTTCTCACCGTCAGTTACAGAGTAAAAACTTATAAGCATGTTTACTCTATTTGTGAACCAATTCAGCAATTGTGGTAAACCTAGGAAGTCTACCTACAAGTTTAATCTTACTTTCCTTCAGAAATCCAGACTTCTTTGTCATCCTGAGATGCCCTATGTTCCTTTTCCGTCTGCTTTGCCCCCATTTTCATTTATTTCCAAATAAAAGAAGTGTGCCCTCTAACTTTGCAATATCACATTTGGAAAGATGAATAGGTTGATATTTTCCTCCAAAATCTTCATCCCTACTCCACCCATTTTGCTCTCACCGTGTTTCAGATTTAGATATTGCTTTAGGTCTGTCTTGAAATTGAATTAAATGATTGAAACAGGACCCTGAGGTAGGGCATAGTAGGGGAGTTATCAGTATTTCTTCTCTGGTAAACTACAGTTCCATTCAAATCTCTGTGACTACTAGGAGCACATTCAAGGCACGGGGTTCCTATTCCATTTGGAAGGCATAGTTATCACAACCCGAAAGATTTCTGGAATTGCCGTATTACTGCACACAGCTTCAGTAATCTTGTTTGTCTGTCCAGGCTGTGCAACAGTAAAACTTTTAACAGGATCCAACATGTAGATTAGCCATGCAGCTTAGTAGATGCTGCTCTTCTCTTGGAACGCTTGTTCTTGAAATGACTTGAGTTGTCTTAGGAACACAGAAGGTCTTGTCCATGGCATACCATGCCCATGAATGTAGCTACCAGACTTACTAATTTCCCACCTCTTGTGACTAGACTGCCTAGGTAGAAAGGAAAAAATAAAAAGTTGTTTGGAGACTCTGTGTGTACCTGCTGTCCCCCCAATCTGTGTGAACTCCAGAAGATACAGGTGAACCAAGAATAGCCTTACTGCGTTTTGTCTTTTTTCTCTCTGTCCTCACCCCAAATAGAATGGTAGCCTCTTCTCTGTTCCACTCTCTTCTTATTAAAGAGGAGAGCTTTTGTGGGACTTTCCTATATTAACTGATGATGCTCTAAAGAATCCTTTAAAACTTGATCTCTAAGAGTAATTGTACATTCTGGCATCTGGAGGTGAGTTTGTATCTTCATTTAAAAAAAGATCAGAAATATATAGGTCTTGAGAAGAAGGCTTATTCTGTTTTTCTCACCTTTGTCATAGAAGATGAACAAGATTTCTCTTTTTAATGCTGTTTTTACCAAGTGGTTGCTTTTCTCGATCATTAGAAACTCTGTTTGGTACTTAAATGACATCCCTCTGGTGTTGAAGCCTAGCTGTGGGTTTAACCTGAAGAAGTGAGATGTTTAGTGAGGACTTAGTAGTTGACTAGGGGCCATATTACAAATAATAATTGTTTGACTGTTATTTTGTTTTCTTTAAAGTTGATCACAGTATTAGACTTTCTATAATTAAAATACTGATCAGGGTAGAAATAGACATCAGAAATGTTCAGACTCACCCAGCTAACCTTAGTTTCTTCTAGCTTCTAAGCAAATTGCCCTTCACTTGAGCGAGGTTTCCTTGGCTCTAATGTCTGTGGACTATTAGAAAGTAACTATACATAAGCTGATGAGGGAAATGATTTATAATTAGTTTTTATAAAAGCCTAAGTGGTGAGGGTTTCCACTTACTACCAGAAGTGCTACTTAACTGCCAGCAGTATCAGTCATCACCCAGTCTTTGGCACCTGATGAGAATTTCGCAACAGCTAGATTTACAAAATAATGTAATGTATGTGCTTGTGGAGGAGACTTCTCTGACACGGTAGCATCTCTAAGATGGAAGAGCCCGTAGTTACAATAACTTACCTTTAGGAGCCTAGCTTGATACTTATAACTAGCGTACCTCTTTCCTAAATCAGCCACTTTCTTGAGTCCTTCCTAAGGTAGAAGACAAGTGCTAGTTCATTCCGTTGCCAGCCTTCTTTGCCTGGTCACTCACCAGGCTCACGGAATGGTTGCTTTCTTACTCTATTATGAAGGAAGGTCTTTGGTAAATTCGTATTTCATCTCCTGGGCCCTGAGGTTATTTATTTTACTAAAGTCCATTATTCCAATATGGGAAATTCATTAAGATAGCAAATAATAATTAATTTCACCACAGTTTCTTGATCTCTGTTGCTGGAAATAACAGTGTCCATGTGAGGAGGTCCTCAAGCCTCTAGGAGGTTGTTGGGCCAATGTGTAAGGGTCCCCTGAACTCTGATATTTCAGGTATGTACAGGATTCTTGTTGCATTACTTGAATGAATGTTATTCCTGGATTCTGCCCCAAGACTGCTGTTCTGGTCTGTCTACTTGTGCTCTAATTGGTGATGTTCTCTGGGCTGATGTGACTCAGCCCTTCTGACCATAATGGGATAATTGGGTTGACTTTCTGCTTCTCTGTCTTTAGTAGTACTTCCTTTTGGGCTCCATTATTGCTAACTTATTTTCTCATTTTCTGAAAATTAACTATTGGGTGTAGGTCAATCTTCCTATTACGCGTAGGCACTTAGGAAACAATCAGCAATTTTTTTTGACACTCTGGTATGAAAAGAGACTTTGAAGAAGTTAAATAGAAAGACAGCCTTTCTGACAGAATGACATAGTTTTCCTTACTGCCTCTGTAACTCAGCAGCTGCATAGTGTAGAGGGTCTCTATACCATTCAGCCCTCATATCTGCTGTAGATTTCTCACTCCACTCTACCACGTTGTGCTGCTCTCCTTATCCTTGAATACTAACTCCTGTGGTGCTTTACTTGTAATGTTTTCTGGATATTGGATGTGGTCCTAGTCATCATCCATCTTCCCTGCCTTCTCCTTTCTAAATACCATATGTAGTGTTTGAGGGAGGTGGCTTCTTGGGGTAGAGGTATGGTGTAAAGGTAGGCCTGAGTCTTTTGGAATGATACTGTGTGGGTAGCCTGTAAGGAATGGTCATACCTGGAGGAGATGCTGTCCAGTATCTAGTAAACAATTACCTTCAGGCAGTATGGGACACAGGTAAGTAAATTCTACATATTTCTCCATGGTACCTTTATAGTCGGGATATTTTTAGAATCAGACCTTTGGCATGGTCCAATTTCTAAATGCCCTCTGTACAAGGGCTTTGTAAATATACTAATTTAAAGGTATCTTTAGAAGAAATGTGACAAGAAGTGCAGACCAGCCCTCAGGATTTATAGCAAAGTGCAGGATTAGAATGGTTTTATTGCCTGTGTAGTGGCTCAGTGCTTCTTGACATGTTATAGGTGCTCAATAAATGTTCATTGCTGCTATATCATTCTAAGTACTATTATTATTTAGGACTCAAAGCAGGTGTGGAGATTTTCCAGTTGGAATAGACTATTCTCTTAAAATATATTTTTTATATTATAGAGATTTACTTTAAGGCTGTAAGTATAATATCTCTATGTAACACAAGGAATTAATTCTTTCTATAGTTTAATGCTCATATTGCAATGTGACTTTAGTAATTGCTTTCGGTCTTAGAGGTCAGTAACTGGGACTGTTTCTCATTAACTTGGTGGAGCACAATGCAATGTTTTGCCTACCCAAGGCCCAATGCAGCGGACTAAACACTTAGAAATTCAAACAGGAAGAATACAAATAAATGATTCCTTTTGTACTGTTGCTGAGATTCCAGTTTTGTAAATTTCAGTGTGTGCACCCATGTGTGTATCAATTCTTCATGTTTTACTTTATTTGATTTTTAAATATCCTATGAGGAGCTCTCCCTCTTGAATTGTAAGACTGGTGTAGATATTCTTCATGATATTTAATCTAGGTTTTCCTTTTCTTAATTAATTGCATGATCCATAAAAATTATTATTCTTTTGGGCAAGAGTACCTTCTAAACATTTGTACATAGTTGTGTTTATTTTCTTGCAGTTGAGCTGGCAATGATCATGGACCGTTTGTATGGTGGTGTCTGCTACGCTGGTATTGACACAGACCCAGAGCTGAAGTACCCCAAAGGTGCTGGCCGCGTGGCGTTCTCCAATCAGCAGAGTTACATTGCAGCTATCAGTGCACGCTTTGTGCAGCTCCAACACAATGACATTGACAAACGGGTAAGCAAGTGTTCAGGGTAGATTTGTTAATGGGAAGGAAATGAGTTTTGTTCTCTAGATCCCTGGGGAGAAAAGTACCTTGTGACCACACGTGAGCAGCTCTACCTTACATGGCTTTAGTCTTTGAATCCATCTAGGCTGCCTGAAAAAGAAAATTCCTGTGCAAGTTAAGGTGTAAATAACTGCCTGATTCATCCCCAGGGTGGTGTTGCACTTATGAGATAGCCATGAAGAATTAGGTTTCCAAACCAGTGCTAGTTAAAAGATGACGTCAGCAGAGCATTAACAGAGTTTGAAAGCTGGTTGACCTGTTTGACCCACATAATGTTTTAAAAACAAACATGTGAACTTGTACTAATGTTTAAATATTCACGAGTATATGTAAACATTGGAACTTATTTCACTTAAATTTGCAAGATCACTCATGGCAGGAACCTTTGGAGTCAAACAGTCTTTTCCAGTCCTGTCTCCCAATCCCATAGCCGTGCTACACACGGTGTATATGTACATATCACCTGTCCCTTGGCTGGTACTGCCCTGTCTCTGGAGGCTGCTAATCTAAAGAGAAAGCAAGAGGTAGAATTGGTGGACTAAGTAGGTAGAATTGGTAGGTAGTTGCTATGTTAAGCTGTTGTGCTCAGTGGACAGACATGTCCACCACTGGGAAATTTGGGAGAATGAAAAGTGGTACAAGCTGTCATCTGTTACCTACATTCATAGGTACAGATCAAGTAGGAGAGTAACACCAAGTCTTGAACACATGCCTTTGCAATTAAAGGATGCTCTTGAAGCTTCCACCCGGCTGCAGTAAATGCAGTTCCAGCAGCACTTGGAGTATAGACAACTTTTACTTGTCCTCTGTTGTTTTTGTGTGCCCTCATAGCAACCCTATATAGGATTTCCCAGCCACTGGTGGGTTTGAACTCCTTTAATGTTACATAAATTTGCCCTTACTTTGAAAGGATTGAAGCAACCCCTTCTTGCAACAAATTCTTCATCACAATCACCTTCACTTGCTGTGCATGCAGCTTTTCAACCTTTGAAAAGACTTTATGCTTTCTTGAACTAAAGTAAAGCTAAGTAAATATTGCATGCACGTATTCTGACTCACCTACAGAAAAATATATGTACCTGTTCTGACTTAAAGACTGAAAGACACAGTTAGGCACTGCCCTCCTTCATAACTGAGGGTGGCCTCTAGTCAGTATGTCCCTATTCTAAAGTTTCACTCGTATTCTCTACAGGTTACTTTGACTAATTTTGTATAGAAGACTTAGTTTCTTAGGAGGTGCAAGTTTCAGTTGGCAATGGATTTTTCACTCTCAGGAACATTAGGTTTTCATTAATGGAGTCCTGGTGTGGTGCTTTAGGATAAACAGTGTACTGCTAACCACAAGGTCAGTGGTTCAAATCCACCAGCTGCTCCTCAGAAACCTTATACAGGGTCACTGTGATTAGAAACCAACTTGATGGCATTTAACAACAACAACAACATGCAATTAAATTACACAAGTAAGTGCTTAGAATAAACATTCTATTTGCTACATTAATGGGCCATTACTCTGGTAGCGTAGTGGTTACGAATCGGGCTGCGAACCTTAAAGTCAGCGGTTCGAAACTACCAGCTGCTCCGCGTGAGAAAGATCAGGCTTTCTACTTCCGTAAAGATTTACACCCTCGGAAACCCTGTACAGGGTTGCTATGGGTCGAAACCAACTTGACGGCACTTAACAACAACAACAACTTAAAAAGTAAGAGCTGTGTGATTGTTGCTTTGATTTTTTAAATTAAAATGAATAAAATAAAATTTCCCCAGCATTTTGAAACATTCTTTGAATTAATGTAGACTCGGAGAGTTGATAAGATTCAACTCTATTTCTGCTTTTCAGGTACCCATAACATCCTGAATTCATTGCTGTGGAGTTGATTTTGACTCCTAGAGACACTATAGGACAGAGTAGAACTCTCCACAGGTTTCCAAGGCCATAAGCTTTACAGAATCAGATAGCCACATCTCTCCTCTACGGAGCAGCTGGTGGGGTCTAGCAGCCAACTTTTGGCTAGTAGCCGAGGGTTTGATTGCATCATGCAGGGCTCCTTATAACACCCTTTCAGATCAGTCAGTCTCACAGCCTTACAGATTGTGCACTCCATGAAGACAGCCACGGTGTCTGTTTCAATTTCTGCTTCATCAGTTAAAAAATGGCTACAACAGTACATTGACAGAGAACTGCCAGAGGTTCAAGTTGGATTCAGAGGAGAACATGAAAGGCCATGATGTCATTGCTGACGTCGGATGCATCTGTTAGATGGATCTTGGCTAAAAGCAGAGAATCCTAGAAAGATGTTTACCTTGCCTTATTGACTACTCAGAGGCTTTCAATTGTGTGGATCATGACAAGCTACAGACAACAGTGAGTAGAATGAATATTCCAGAACACTGAATTGTGCTCATGAGGAACAAGAGCCAAGAGGCAGTTGTTAAAAAATAACAAGGGATGACTGAATGGTTTAAGATTAGTAAAAGTGTGTGCCAGGGTTGAATTCTTTCATCATACTTTACTCACTTTGTATGCTGAGCAAATAATTCAAGAAGCTGGATTATATGAAGAAGAAAATGGCATCAAGATTGGAGGAAGACTCATTAATAACCTGTGCTATACAGATGATACAACCTTGCTTGCTGAAAGCCAAGAGGACTTAAAATACTTACTGACAAAGATCAAAGACCACAGTCTTCAGTATGGGTTATACCTCAATGTAAAGAAGACAAAAGTCCTCACCACTGGACCAAAAAATAGCATCAAGATAAATGGAGAAAAGATTGAAATTGTCAAAGACTTCATTTTACTTGAATCAACCATCAACACTCATGGAAGCAGCAATCAAGAAATCAAACAACGTATTGCAGCGTTTGGCAAATCTGCTGCACAAGACCTCTGTGAATTGTTGAAGAGCAAAGATGTCCGTTTGAGGACTAAGGTGCGCCTGACCCCAATCACAGTATTTTCAGTAGTCTCATCGGCATTTGAGAGTTGGATAATGAATAAAGAAGACATATTAGCAGGAGAGACTGGTCACTGGAGAAGGACATCATGCTTGGTAAAGTAGAGGATCAGTGAAAAAGAAGAAGACTGCCAACGAGGTGGATTGGCACAGTGGCAGCAGCAGTGGGCTAAAGTGTAGCAATGATTGTGAGGTGTGTGCTGGACCGGGTAGTGTTTTGTTCTGTTGTACGTAAGGTCGCTATGAGTCAGTACTAACTCTATGGCACCTAAAAACAATGACATAGGCTTGAACAATCACAGATCTTATAATGGTTGGTAGATGTTAACCAGCACTAACTGTGTAATAACATTCATCTTGTTACGATTGTACTCAGTATCGATGTCATTAATAATACAGGGGAGAAAGGGGGTTTTCTTGATAAAAGAAAAAATCTACATTGGTTTGGGGGGAAGGAGGAAATGATACATGCACTAGAAGGTAGACATGTATTGATGTGGGTGACAGGGCAGGCAATATACAGCCAGAGGGAGGTTGGCAGAGAAAAGATGGGGGTGACAGGAGACCCGGGGAGGAGTGCAGTGGTTCAAGTGAAGAGAGGTAAAATGGGATTGCAACCATGTAATGAAGCAAGGTGTAGGATGTGCTGAATGTAAAACTGATGATCTACTCTGTAAACCGTCACACAATTCACAATAAAAAGTTCATAATAATAATAATACAGCCTGACCCTTCCAGCTTGTGGGGCATCTTGGTTCTGACTATGAATGTTTAATATCCAGTTGATTCCTCCCACTTCCAGGTTGATTGGCATGGTCTTTAAACTGTCTGTAGAGGAAGGGCCATGCACTGTGTTTTTGACCTTAGAAACCAGGTGGATATGGGGGCCCAGCAAAGGCACGGGTGTGGTGTGGTGCTTAGGGGCAGACAGAGTCCTCCAGGGTTTGACATGCTTTTTGTCAGCTTTCCTGATAGAAGCTTCCGTTTTGTACACCCAGAATGAGTGTAATAATGTTGACGTCGTTGAAGTTACAAATTGTTTCATGTTTTGATATGGGAGTTTCGTTTCTTGTTTTTTTTTTTGTTTGTTTGTTTTGTTTTGTTTTGTTTTTAATTGACGGAAGGAAGTAGAAAATGGAGAAAAAAACAAGATTCTTTCATGAAGGGGTCTCCAGCAAGAAGTCCAGTTGACCCCACTGTGCCCAGGGACTCTGACATGATGCCTGGGCCTGAGCGTTGCAAGAAAAAGTTAGTCTCCCAAATTTGATTTGAATTTTGGAGACTTTTTTTTTTTTTTTTTTAAGTTTTTTTGTGTGAATTGAGTGAAAGTTTACAGGGGCAGATCATCAGTTTTACATTTAACAAATCATATATCTTGTTTCATTACAATGATTATAATCCTCTCCATGTACCATCAGTTAACAGGATTTCTCTCTGTTCACTTTAGCTCTTTTTTAAAAAAAAAAACAACAACTCAGGCGTATATAATAATTTACACCAACAAAAGGCACGTTCTCCTGGCCACCATCTCTTAGTTCCTCTCTTCCCATAAATCTAGAGTCCTCAGCTGCTCCCTCTCTCCATGTCCCCATCTCTGTCTCAATCTCTAGTGTCGCTGTTTTTTTTGCATAAAGTCTTGCATTCTACTTGTACTCTTCTCCCTTGATGGTCCTAGGGTCCTCTGTTTTTGGGCTGTAAGGAGCTCTGGTAGCGTAGTGATTATGAATTGGACCGCGAGCCACAAGGTCAGCAGTTTGAAACTACCGGCTGTTCTGCTGGAGAAAGATGAGGCTTTCTGCTCCTGTAAAGATTTACAGCCTGGGAACCCTGTACAGGGTCGCTATAAGTCGGAACCAACGCCATGGCACATAACAACACCAACAGGAAGAGTAACTACTCCTCTGTTTTTGATTCAAAATTTCTACCTTTACAATTGTGACAGTCGCAATTAATCATGATAACCATTACTCACTATTGAATCGTAAGAATCTTAT